CGCCCGCTGGCCCTCAGGCAGGCGCATGCGCGGAGGCCGCCTCGCCCCTCCCGCCCCGGCTTCCCGCCCTTCCCTGAGGGAGCCCGCCGCTCCCTCATCCCCTCAGGGAGCCCGGCCGCCTGGGAGCCCAGGTGAGGAAAGCTAGGGAGAAAAGGAAAAGAAAAAAGAAAAAAAAAAAAAGCTTTGGAAGTTTATTATCTTTGATAAACTCAACTGAAAAAGGGGTGGACTCTGTGTTAACAGCTGCAGAAATGCACAAAAACCTATTATCCATGGGGAAGTCAGGTGGTTGTGTTGGTTTTTCTTCACTAGACGTTAAATTAGAATTACGTGGAATGACACAGGATGGAAGGTCCTACCCGAGAGCAAAGTCCAGTGAGAGTTTTGGTAAAGCAACGTTCTGATTAATTAGCTCAGAATGAATTCTAGTTAAGAAAAGCTTATTTTCCTATACAAAATTACAATACAGAGAACGCATACAATTACAATACAGGGGGTTTAACTGTTAGTAGCAAAAAAAAAAAAGCTTTGGAAGTTTATTATCTTTGATAAAATCTCAACTGAAAGGGGTGGACTCTGTGTTAACAGCTGCAGAAATGCACAAAAACCTATTATCCATGGGGAAGTCAGGTGGTTGTGTTGGTTTTTCTTCACTAGACGTTAAATTAGAATTACGTGGAATGACACAGGATGGAAGGTCCTACCCGAGAGCAAAGTCCAGTGAGAGTTTTGGTAAAGCAACGTTCTGATTAATTAGCTCAGAATGAATTCTAGTTAAGAAAAGCTTATTTTCCTATACAAAATTACAATACAGAGAACGCATACAATTACAATACAGGGGGTTTAACTGTTAGTAGCTATCAACTAGAACAGAAATTTCATAGTAAAAAACTTTATGGAAATTAAAATAAGTCAATTTTCTTAAGCTGTAAAACTTGAGACAAACGCCAAGTTCTAGAAGAGACACTTTCAGATTCTTACCATAAAATCCATATTTTAAAAAATGAATTTGGTTAGGAAAATGAAGCAAGTTCTTTTAAAACAATTTCATATCCCAATGGGCATAAGTAAAAAGAACTCAACTGCGTGAGGCTGAGAGGTAGAGAGGTATCATTGTAATCACAATCTTCTATTGGTTCCAGGGTTTTTTTCTGAGGTAATTAGCTGTGTGTCAAGTTGTATAAACAATAGTATTGGCAAAAGAGCAACATTGACAAATTACACTAATGACCTCTTTCCTCTCATCAATAGGTCCTAAAAACTTAATTAGACGCATCCGAATTAACACTTCCAGGGTCTCCAGCAGGTGAAGTGATTGATGAAGGGGTGGTAGCATCCTGCCAGCTGCCATTAGCCTGAAGGGAGAATAAATACATCATTTCATTAAATCTTTAAGAAACTACTTGCAGACAACAAAGTATGCCTTTATATGTTTACACCGTACAAGCGACAGTGCTTTTGAGAGGAAATAACTACGTATCGGCTCTGGCAAAGCACAGTCCACGAATATTCTGTAAAACCTCTCCACCCCCAGATTTTATGGTGTTATTCTTACTCCTAGTGCCATCTCCTTCTGGCAAGAATTAACTGAAGTGCACAAATTTTCTGGTGACCCAAGCCGAAATTTTAAATCCGGTCTCTGGGAGGGAAAGGCTGGTGTATTAAACTACATCTTTTCCAGCTTCTTCCTAGCCCCGCATCAGAGAGGTCAGGGGGAATGAAAAGCCAACATTTATTCACAGATCATTAACCAATCTCAGGCAGAATTTGTGTTTCTAGTAATACCTCAGTACATCTTACATCTATGCGCTGCGTCGTATACAAGGGATTCCCCACAATTGTGTCATATCGTCCTGTCTGGTGTATGACATGATGTAAGGAATCCATCTAGAACAAGATCCCACACGATGAGAACAATAAGGATAAAAAGTCAAGTTAAAGAAATGCAGTAGTACGTGGTACGTAGATCTAGTAGTAGATCTATTGGGCCAAAAATTCTTTAAACGAGGGGCAGGTTTTCTTGCAGGAAGACAAGTTTTCTTTGCAGTTCTTGCTATTAACTGAGCTATACCTAGCGAGTTCATCATCAAGCAGAATTAGAGCCTAGTATCATGCCTATCACCTGTAACTTTTATGACAGAGGAACAGATTTTATGCAGTTAGATGGATTTAGAAATTCGGCAGAAAGCTTAAAATGACTCTAACAACACTGTTAACCACAAATCCTAAGCAAAGTTCTACTTATATGGAACAAGACTGACTCTAAAATGAGAAAATACTCATTCATTAATGTAAATTTAAGGGGACAGAAGAATAGCAGTAGGTTAATTCAGGTATCGGTTAACTCTGTAAGAGAAAATTCCAGTTCCAGAAGAAAATACACATTTGAGCAGGTTTGTTTCTTGACTCGTTTGAGAAATTTGACTCGAGTCATTTCTTGCATCCTAGCCAGTGCTGGCCAGAGACAGAAGAATCCATCCCTATCTGGTATTAAGAGAATCTCCTTTAAAAAAAAAACAAACAAACAACAAGACACGAGATTGTCTAATCCAACCCTGCTGTTCGAAGCAGGGTCAATTTGAGCAGGCTGGGTTTTGAATATCTCCAAGGACGGAGACTCCACAACCTCCCTGGGCAACCGGTTTCACCCCGTACAAAGGACAGAGAAATGGGATTTTAACATTTATCTCACTGCTGAAAGTAGGGTTTTTTTTTTCCTTACTGACCTGCGACTGCACATTGGCTCCCACGGGGGAGCTCTGGTAGGAAGTCAATGACTGCAAGTTTATAAACGAATCTCCGGAATTTGTCATCTTAAAAGAGCCAGAGGAAGCTGAAAAAAACAAACAGGTTTTAATGAGAAATAAAACCCACCAAAAATGGTTCTTCAATGAGTATTACATTATTTAAGTTTGAAAGAAAAAGAAACCCTGCGACCGTTTCAAACACCGGTATTCCGTGGTACCAATTGTCACAAGAAATAATTAAGAGCCTTTCAAGCAGACAGACTCTTCACCGGCGCCCTCACTCACCTGAATTTGGTGTCGAGGGAGAATTTGCCTGGTTGCCTTGAGCCACGACATTAGTTGCATCCACTGCTGTTTTTGCAGCATAAATATTAGCTTCTTCTTGGAACTTCCCCATGTTTTTTTTGTATCGAATTCTTTTGTTACCAAACCAGTTGGAAACCTGGAGACATACATCGCTGTTAGTATTTACCAAATTATTACATTTTCCACTATATTCGGAAGTTACCAGCAAGGGAGACGTTTTAAACTAGGCTTCAGGCAGAAAATGCCTACTACTAAACCCTTCAGAACAACCCAAATCCCGTTTAAAGTACCAGTAACTGAAGCCTGTTGCTAACTATGGGGGGAAAAAACCCAAACCATTGTTCAAGGGGAAAAAAAAAAAGTCACTGAATTCCAGATAAAACACTTCATACCTGTGAAACTGTGATGCCCCCTTTCTTTGCTAGCTCTTCTTTGGCCTCTTCGCTGGGGTAAGGATTACTCAGATGCGAATAAAAATATTCATTCAGTACTTCTGTCGCCTGTTTGCTGAAGTTACGTCGTTTACGCCTACAAAAACATCAGTTATTCCTATTTAAATGGTGTTACAGAGTAGACCGGCTAGAGCACACCGTGGGCTTCTCTTTTTGTCTAAAATACCTGTGGTTTGAAGGAGAACGTAAGAATTGTGTGGAATGAAATAGATGTTGATGTCAAAGTATACCCTAGCAAGCAAAACGGGTGGCGAATTCCTCATATTTAAACTAGATCAACACTGGGAATGACGGACTTGAGATTTCTTACACAATCACTGGCATCACGCAAGAAAAGACGTTCAGGCTTGAACGTCAGTTATCGCCAGATCCTGTTCTCTCCTACCTTGCATCAAGAAAGCGCGAGCGCAGGATCATTACTGCCTCGCACGTGCTCTGCTTCAGTTGCATCTGGATGGTGCTGAATTTGCCGTGGATTATGTTCACCATGCGCTCTATTTCTTTTGGCGAAATCGGTCTTGTTCTACTCTGTTCCCTAAGCAGGTTCATAACGTGGGTGGTGAACTCGCTGCAGGCCTGAAAATACATACATTTGTATCGACAAACAGTAAGATACCTAGAATTCGTTTCCCCCACAAGAATATATATCCAAAAAAAAACTTTAGAGGAGTTTCCATGTTTCAGCTTTACTCTATTTACTCTTAAAAAACGGCAACAAAGATAAACGAGACATTTATTATCTTTAGTTTGATGTCCGGTCCCTCTGTCTTCACCTTACTTCTGGAACACTGAGATAAGTTTTCAACTGAATTTGATATCCTCGCGTTCACCTGAATTCATTATACTTCCTGTTCTGTTCTTAAAACCGACACCAAAGGAAAAAACGGTTATTTTTAATTGAGATGATAAAAACTCTTCCATGCAGAAAGATCACCTGTTCATATTTCTCTAGCTCAGAGTGGTATATCTGTCGGATCTGTGACAGCTTGGCCCTGTAGTCAGAGTGTTCAATGCTATTGTCATTTGGACAGCCACC